GCCCACCCATGCTCTCCTGGGGCCCATGTGTCTCTAGTTACTTGTCTCTGCAGTATCTCCAGCAGTGCCTCTGGGCTGTGTGATTTTAGTTTTGCCTTTTTAAAGTGTTTCTGATATCCACTCTCCAGCTGGGACACAGGTCAGGCAGGCCATGCCCTGATTTACAACTGGGAAAATGAAAGCACAGAGAAGGTAATTGATTTTTTCAGGGTCACACAGCATGTCAGGAGCAGAGCCATGATTAGAACATTGAGCCTGCAGGATCCAGTCCATTACCGTGAGCTCAGGGCATTTTCCCACCATTCTAGGGTTTGCCATTAACAGGTTTCCAGGGCCAGCTCCAAGTTGGAAGGCAGCCTGGCTCTGGTATAGAGGACAAGCACCTGGGGCTTAGAGGCCTTTTCAGCCACACTTGAAAAGCTGCTCTGATTAGCTGTCAGAATGACAGCTCCACCCAAGAGAACACCTCCATCGAGCACTTGGCTGCAGAAGTCGGTGGCTAGGAGAAGTTCAATTCAGAAGGAGGGTTATTTCTCTTTTACCCCTTTGATCTTGGCAGCACTCTTAGCAAATATCCTTTTCTTTATTTGCATGACCCATTCTCTCCAGCATTTTTGCTCTTTTCCCTGTCATATCCATGGATGTTGATTCTAGAAACCATCCCCATGAAGAAGATAATAATAATTAATAGTAATAATGGCTAACATTTACTGGGCACTTACTATGCCCAAGAGCTGTTCCAGACACCTTCCATGTATTAACTAATTTCATCCTCACAACAATCTTCGTGATGCGGTTATGCCCATCTCAGAGCTGAGGGACCTGAAGTTCACAGTCAGACTACTAGCCAGTGACTGAGCGGTGATTCGGACTCAGGCTGACTCCTCAGTCCATGCTCTGAACACTGCAAGCCAGACTCATCTGTCTTATGAATTTCCACTTGTTGGTTGTGCTAAGCAGAACCCCAGCTACATATCCACCCAGGATGAAGGGGTAATAAAAGTCAGAGAAGGCCCTCAGCTTTGCCTCCACCTTTCCCGGAGGGGGGCTGGGGCTCAGATCACTCAACCCTCTGGACCTCAGTTCCCTCATTTGTAATGTGAGTTGGAACATGATGCCTACTGGGTGTTGATGTCTGTGGTACGTTTAAGACAATTATCCTTCCCAGGTACTCTGGAGCCTATTAGAATGTTTTCTTGAGCAGGTAGTCACCCCAAGCCCTGTTAGGATGTCCATGTCATCTAAGGAACCCCTATGAGGGTCACTAATCTTTGGCCAAGGTAGTCAACCAAGCCCTACCAAGGTTGGAATTTGGAGGGAAAAGTAGGTTGTATCCCATTACCTCCCAGCCTCAATTCACCATACTTTCCCCAGAAGGAATTCCCCCCACGTGCTGGGCTTCCTTTAGATTATCAGACATTTCTGAGTGGAGTAAGTGGGGGTCCTGCCATGGAGGTGGCATTGCCCTGTCCTTCTCCACTCAATCGTGGAAGTGTCCCCTTACACCCCATCCTCTGAACCCACACACCACGCACCTTCCTCCTTCCCTCTTTCTGATTGAACTTCGCCAATCTGAGTGAAACTTCCCAGGATGCTATAACCCATCACAGTTGTCTTCAAGGCTCCCTATGTGTCACACAATGGCCTCGGTGGTATGTGGCTCCCCAGAAAAGAGTCAGGTGTCCCCACTTCATCCCCTGGATGTGTCATTGACTCACTGGGTATTACAGGCAGCTCACCCCCCACACCCCCATTTACACATAATCTCATCTTTTTGGTAGGGATACTCTTCCTGCCAAGCAAAAACAGTTTTTTTTTTCAGTTTATTTCTTTATTGTAAAATGAAACACATTGGTTGTAAAATATTTGGAAAATCTAGAAAAGTACACAAGAGAAAATTACTGTCGCCCATAGTCTGCTCTCTCAGACATTCAGAGATTACCATAATATTTTGATATATTTCTTCTAGCATTTTTCTCATGACTCTATATTTTCAAGAAAATGTATAACACATATTTATCAAAAATGTTAACAGAGTTGTCAAACAGGGAGGAAAAAAAGTAGTGTCATTTGGCCCACGTCTATACTTGGCAGCTCCCGCAGTTGCTACTTAGGTCACATCTCTATGACTACCAATTTGTCTCTCTTAGAGTGGAATCAGGCGTCATAATAGCCAAATGTCGTGAGATTGATTGACCCACACACAGCTCGATTTGGCCAGCCAGCCAGTGAAATAACTGGCTGCAGCCCAAGAAGAGGGTTGGTCAGAGGGGAGCCTCCCAGACGTTAGGTGCCTAAGGATCGCTAAAATTGAGGATTCTGATTCAGTAGGTTGGGGTGGGTGGGAAGACCTGAAATTCCCATCTAACAGCTTCACAGGGGATGCAGCAGTGGCCGGTCCCTGGACCACATTTTGAGTGGCAAGGGGCTAGAGGATTGAATCCACCCCATTCCACTCAGCTAATAAGTCCCACAGTCCTGCAGTGTGCCCACTTGATGCTTGGGTGGTCAAAGGGGCAAGAGAGGAATGGCACCAATGCTGTGCGCAGCCACTGGCCTGAGCAGCCATTTCCCGACCCCACCTACTCAACCAAGGTCTTTGTTCTGATGCCTCGCTGCCCCCTCCAGCCTCCTCGGGAGCGGCTTCCTGCTCAGCAGGCCCTGATGCGCTTGTGTGGTGGTGATCCTCTCCCCTGAGGAGCCCTCCCACCCCTCCAGGTTTTCATCACATAAGGTGTCCATTGACCTCACTACTTTGCCTACCTTCTCTCCCTTTATTCAAAGAGCCAAAAAGAAAGGAACACCCTGGACCTTATGCCACTCTAGGTCAGGGAGAGGCTTCCAGAAGGTGGAGAATGCTGGTGGCTCTCTGCGTTCCTCCAGCTGGAAGGCACACGCAGAGCTGCCACAGGCATTTGCAGAGGCTGAGGGGCCTGTCTCGGCCCCCGGGGCAGCGTTGGCTATTCCAGCCCACCCCCCAGGAGTTCCCCTGCTCCAGGCACGGGCAGTAATAATGCCACCAGCTCTCTGTTTGCTCAACTCTATTTACAAAATGTCTCTACACTCTCTCCCTTATTTTATCCTCAAACCAGCCCTGTGAAATAGTCACTAATACTCCATTTTACAGATGTGGGAGCTTCTGTGATAAAGGAAGTGACTTGCTTAAGTCACACAGCAGAAAGCAGGGAGGCTAGGATTGGAGCTCAGGTGTCAGATTCTGGTGCTATTAAGGTACCAACACCCATAGGACAGGCTGACTTCTCTGCCTCCAGCCCTTCAAAGGGTAAGGGGAGAGGAATGAGCTCAGCCCTGCCTCCTTCTGCCAGGAGCTGCTGCTTGCTGGAATCTTCCATTGTGATTCTTGGTTTAAAGCTTGTAAAGGACGCTTCATGGAAGGTCACTTCCAGCTACCGGTTAGTTTTTGCAAAAGAAGTGGATGTGGGATCCCTTGAGGGGGGCATAAAAAATAAAACAGAAAGATCTCCTTAGCTTTTGGATTTTTAATCAGAGGAACATGTGGGGCTTGGGGGGAAAATGATTTCTTCAGGGGGGTATAAACGGGAAGAGATGCTCAAAGTCAGTGACAGCCGGCTTTAATTTATAATTCTGCCTCCATGTGAAATGCACAGAGAAACAGGGGGAAATGAGTAATAATTCACTAAGGTGCTGTCACACTCAGGAAGCGTGAGGGCCTCTTTGTCAGCCTGCCGCTGCCAAAAACGCTTAGACAGAGGAAGGACATGGAGAGCAGCGGGTCTGGCTGGGGAGCGCCTTTCCCTCTGGGGGGAGACGTAGCCCTGCTGCTCCTCCACGACCTGGCCTGGGCTCCTGGGTGATCTCAGAATAGTCTGGAATGGCCTGCTAGCTCCCTGAGGCTGAGCGCCTCCCTCAGCCATTCTCATAGCAAGCCGGAGATCGTGAGTTCTCTCTAGCTCTTGCCTCCTTTCTCCCTCCTTCTGTGGGCAGTTGGGAAATACATGGTCTATAAAGCTGACTGTGGCCTTTTCAGTGGGACCTGAGGTCAGTCTGGTGTAGAGAAAAGGGTAATGGGACCATTTATGCTGAGTCATCAGGTGATGCAAAGAGGCCCCAAGCCTGGGATGCTTGATCAGGAGGGTCTAGGCCGTGCTGCTGTGATAAACCATCCTGCCATCTCAGGCTTAGCAAGACATTTCCAGCACCTGGCCATGGAGGGCTGGGGCGGGGAGGGGCCCCTGCCCCACAGGGTGTGCAGGGACACAGGCTGGCGCTACTAAAAAGCAGCACTCCCAGCAACGAGAAACCCCCTTGGCCTCTCAGTGGGGGGAGGGAGACCGAAGAATGCGTAAGGGTTTCTTGCAGGCTCAGTCTAGAGAAGACACATGTCATGTCCACTCCCTTTTCATTGCTCAGAACTACTGGCTTCACTTCACTGAAAGAGAAATAAAGAGCACATAGAAAGTTCTGAGCAATCTGTGTCTCAGCAAAGCGGGGTGATTTGAGGGACCCAAACCAACTCCCAGCCAACAGTACCGCTGCCACCACCACACTCTTGTCACTGTGTTGATGACAGAAATGTATTCCAGTGCGTTACATGTCGGCTTCTCCTGGGGTCATGTTCATAGTGGATTGGTATAAAGAGCACAGAATTTAGAAGCAGAAGATCTGGGCTCAAGCACCAGCTGGGTTACCTGCTGGCTATGTGACCTTGGTCAGATTGATCGACATACCTGAGCCTCTGCTTTGTCATATAAGAAACTTGGTTAACAACATCCATGCAGCAGAGTTATTATTATTACCATTTTATTGTCTAACCACCAGAAAAGTGTAAACCAACACATATACAATTTAGGGATTGGGGCTTCTCTCCATTATAACCAGTGTCATTAAACATAAATGGTCTGGCTGGGGAACTGTTATTAATGAGAATGATTTGGCCATGCCTGGCTAATTTTACTTGATACAGGCATACTTTGCTTTTAGTAGTCCTAGAAATGACCGTGCCCTGTGCTCTCCTGCAGGTAAACTCCCTGATGGTTTTTACTGCGACTTTGAGGATGGCTTCTGTGGCTGGACCCAAGGAACACTCCCACCCCACGCGCCCCAGTGGCAGCTCAAGACCCTAAAGGATGCTCGGCTCCAAGACCATCAGGGTATAGTGCTGCTTACCTCCCTTCCCCCTGGTGCCCACCCAGTCAGATGAGAGACTGAGGGCCACCCTCCAGAGCTGCTGGACCTCCCCCAACCCTGCAGGGCTAGCCCAGGTGGCTGCCCCAAAATTGCCCTGGGGTGCTCCCCCACAATTCCTTCTTCACACCTTCTGGATTAAATCAGGCCAAGGTAGATGTCACCTTCTGCTCCTTAAAATGAGAATGCTAATAATGAAGGATCAGCTGAAAGATGAGAATACCAGCAACAAAGAGAAGAACGCTTTCATTTGACAGGTGTATCTTGAGGACCTACTGTGTCCAGCACATAACTCATTAAGAGGGGAAAACCATAGCCCTCTTTGTGACTGGGGAGCTGAGACACAGGGTGGCCTTGTGTCATTTGCCCCAGGGTAGTGCCCTGGAACCCTTGCCCCACATCTGCTCCATTCCCTGCAGCCCAGCTTGCCCAGCCATACCCCAATCCTATACCCAAATAAGCTGGCAACTCCCACCCTCCCTGCACCAGAGCCCCCCCTTCTACTGCCCCTGCTCAACTGCCCCAGGGGTAAGGGCCTCCATGCCCCCAAGAGATGGCCCCCTACACCTGGGTGAGCTGACCCCACACCAGGGAACACCAGCCCAGCTGTGGGATCAGAGAGGGTCTGTGAGCCAGCACAGCTGCCAAAGCTGGGCCGCTAGAGAGGCCAGACGATCCAGTCGTGGGGCCAACCTCTCTGTAGCATGGGGCTGGGGGTGAGGGGTCTCTCTCCCCTTCCCACCCCGGCATTTGCTTGCTCTTTCCAAACAAAGACCACACAGCCTATGGATTCCTTTAAGAATTAATAATATTAATAACAATATTAAGTGTGAGAGAGGATACTCCAGAGCCCTTGTAGTTCTGTCCTTGGTCCTGAGAGCTGGTTGCCACTGAGGGGCCCGTGAGGAAGGCTGAGTGACTGCAGCCACGGGAGAGCTGCAGGACCCCTCACCAGGTGCGGAGGCCCCAGAGCTCCTGCCTCTCCCGCACCCCACCCCCAGCCTCCTCACTGCACTGCATCAGGTCAGCTCCTGTTTGTAGGTGCAGAGAAGAGAAACAGAGCTCAAAGCTGGACATGATCTTCATGTCCCGGCTGTCAGTGGGACAGGCCCCTGATAGCAGGCACAGCAAGCCCAGGCCCAGCCCTTGCTGAATGCCTCTGGTGGCAGGACTTTCACTGCCTCCCAAAGCCACCCATTCCATTGACTGCTCTGAATGGAAGACCAGTTTTTCTGCCCTCAGAATAAGCTCCCCCCTCTCTGTAAATTCTACTCTTTGATTATGATTTCTGTCTCCTGGAGCCCCACAGAACTAAACCACTCCCTCTCCCACAGAAGCAGCCCTTCAGATATATGAAGACAGCAGTTGTGACCCACCTGCTGCACAAGGCGGTTTCTCAGCCACATACCCCAGCCCTTGATGCTTCCTCCAGAAGGGTCAACATGCTAATGTCTGGACTGGCCTGGCTACTCTGCTCTGGACCCACCTGAATTTGTTACTTCGTAGTGACTCAGTAACAGACCTTGCTAAGCAATAGAGAAAAGTAGAAATGAATGAGTAGAGTTCTGCTTGGCATTCTGTGGGGCACCTAAAATGTTCTGGGCTTACTCCGCCACCCATCTCTGTAGCACTGACTGTCCACAACATGTCCTACAGTTCCTGGAGGTTTGCAGATGATTCTTCCACCTCCTGCTGGGATAGATGCTCATGTTCTCTCAAGTTCTCAGGCAGATTGATACTTAGAGGACACAAGAAATAAGGCTGACTGGCCAGGGCATGGGGCACAGGATGATCTGGTACAAGAGCATGACAGTTGCAGAAACCATTAGAGGGCAAAGGGCCGGCAGACCTAGAAACAGGGAGGGGTGTGGCTGGGGGAGCCCAGAGTGACTCAGGCTGCTCCTGGGATACGGGCTGGTGACCTTGGGAAATCAGGGGTGCAGTAGCCCACATATATGGTGCTGGGACACTGCAGACCATTGACAGTGACAAATAGACTGTCTTATCCACTGGAAGCATCAGAAAGCCACAAGCTCGAAGGTGTCCCGAGGTTAGAGAACAGGGCAGGGCCCATGAGCCCTGCACTCATCAGCCTTCCCCCCGGGGCCCTTCAGTACATGAAGATAGTGCTTCTTTGACTCTCTGCCTCTCTGTCCTAGGCCATGCCCTCTTGCTCAGTACCACTGACGTCCCCACTTCTCAAAGTGCTGCAGTGACCAGCGCTACATTTCCCGCACCGATGAAGAACTCTCCGTGTGAGGCAAGTCTAAATGTTCCTCTAGTTCTCTGACTTCTGCTCCCACCCTGAGGGCACTTCTAGATGAGCCCAAACCATTTAATAATAACCAAACAGCTTGGATGGTTGGGCTGCTTGTTCTCGGGGTGGGTGGGGGGGCTACGCAGCAGGCAAGGAGACCATTTTGCCATCTTCTAGGCAAAGAGAATCCACCAGCATGGTGAAGTCCCTTCTGCAGAGAATCTTACCTTAAACACCCACTCTCAGCTGCACTGAACTATTTGCAGTAAGAACTTGATTTAAGCAAACCCAGAAAATATTTCCAAGTCTTAGCAGGGAAGAGTAACAGCTATTTACAAAAGACTTTCTACAGAACCTTTTTATAAATATCAAGCTCTTATAATACATTTCAAGTTTTACAGAGCATCAGAAATTTATTTTAGATGAATTTCACTAAGACATCAATGGCAGTCAGTGAGGTACCTCCAGGTGCACCTACCCAAATGGCTCCTGTAGCTCTTACCTCTTTAGTGTGAGGAGTAAGGGACTGCTGCTGTGTTTCTTAGCATAAAGCCATATTTCCTAAGAACCAAGAAATGTGCCTACACCCCAACATAGCCTGGTGATTACGCTCATGAACTCTGGATTCAACCACCTGAGTCCAAGCCGGGTTCTACCACTGATTGGCTGCACAGTTTGTTTGGGCAGTTAATAACCTCTCAGGGCCTCAGTTTCCCAACTTGGAAAGTGGACGCAGTGAGAGTACCTGCCCCAGCAAGGAGAGGATGAAATAGAATAATATACAAACAGGGCTTACCACAGCATCTGGTGCGATGTTAGCACCACCGCAGTCAGCCAGCAGGGCCCGTCACCCTGTACAAATGTATGAAAGGAGGATGGGGAAGGAGGATGAGGACGTCAGCCAAAAGTCCCACCCCAAGTTCTCAGAAAGCCTGCTGCTGCCCGTGCTTCTTCACTTCTCCCCCGTGACACCACATCAGTGTCTTGAACACAGTAAAAAGCTAACACACAGTTTAAATTTGGCCAGTCCTCTCTGTCTGGAGACTCACAGGTGAAATCCCTTCCTGGCTTCGTTTCAGGAATAGCTATGCGCTCTCTGAGCAATTTGTTTCCTTCCAAGTTGTGGACACCGTGAAACTGACCAGGCTCGCCTTCCCTCTGCTGGCTGATAGAAACCCCAGGGAGGTGTAAGAACAAGCTTCCCCTGCTGAGGGACTCAAATTCAAGCCCTCCAGGCTTTTTTGTGAAATGAAAACTCACAGGCATAAAACATATAAGAATGGAAAAGATGCATCAATGATTTTTTTTTAATCAGGATAACTGTCTAATTAAATCTAAAGTGCCCCTTTTAGTAAGCAAATGGGGGCCTGTGAGGTGCAGTTTGTAGCAGCTTTACTCGTGGTTCAATTTTATAATCCCACAGGTGTCCCATCTTTCTCACCCTCTTGTAATTTATGTTATCTTACTAGATTTTATGTATCTCTGTGAGCCACCTTAAATTCTTTTTGGAAGAAGTTAGGGCACAAATAAACAGATTCGTTACATTAAATTGTATTTGAGAAACCTCACTATCTGATGCAGATGGTAGAATTACACAGTCATGGTTGATATTCTCAGGTGCCTCTCAGCAGACACCTAGCAAAGAAGGCTTGCTTAAGAGGAAATGTAAATGGAGAGAAATAGTTGGCCCACCTGAGAGGTGAGGGAGGATCCTTAAAAGCATTTGATCTTTAAATTTAGTTTTCCCTGGATCAAATATGAAACTAATTTCAGAAAAGGAAATGTTAAGATAAAAATGATATTTTTCTCACATTGCATCATTTCTCTAATAACCTTTGGGTTGATCAATAGCTTAAACAGGTGTTTTGTTTTACTGGCCTGTTTTACTTTTCCTCCAGTCATATTTTTCCAGGCTATCTCTGCTGTTTCCTGCCCTTTTCCAGAATTTAATTGGGCAGGAGTAATGAAGGGCAGGCAGTGAGTCCATCCCAGTCCCGCTCACAGTTACTTCCCCGTCAGACTTTCAGACCATTTGTTTAACACTGACGGGTCTCTGAATTCCCGATGTTGGGGGAAATGTTTTCATCAGAAAAATAAATAACCAAAATAGAAATATGCATTTCATGGTTTGTAAGCCCTGCCATTTATTATACGCAAATCCTAAGTACAGAAGACAAGAAATGGATTTCCTTCTCCCAGCTGGCTGATCGCCAGTGACAGGGAAACCGGTGTTGCTTCCTTGCAGGAGACTGTGTGAGGTTAACGTGGGCCGTTCAAGCTCCACCAACCCTCACAGGGCCTGTGTTGGCCGTGAGGTCCGGGTGCAGGAGGGTGGACACTAGACAGAGCCATGGGTGGGGGTCTCTGCTGAGGGTCAGACCCCCAGGGACTGCCTGCTGGCTGAGCAAAGCTCCATGGCTGACCCACCACTGAGCACCTTCTCTAAATCCAGATCAGTCCTGGGAGGCCTAGAGTCTCTTCAAGACTAGGGAGTTGAAGTAATTGCAGAGTATCTCAAAATGCTGTCAAGAAACCCCGCAGTTCCCAGTGTATTCCCATAGGGGAGCCGGTGTCGCCTTTGGTGCTCTTCCTCGAAAATCTGAATATGCCCTAACTACTAGGTCTATGTTTCTCTAGCTGCAGGCACTTGGAAAAAGTAATAAATACAGATTCTTGGGCCCCGCCCCAGATATCCTGGCTGACATCACTGAGCAGGGCTGAGGATCTGCATTTTCAAACCTCGCCCAGAGATTTGAGTGCGCACTGATACTTGAGGGTAACTGGCCATGGGTGAACTTGCCCACTGTGACCAAAATTCACTCTGGGCTCATGCTGAGAGATTGCCTCCATTATCTTGGCCCCACAGAGTTTGATGTAACTTGCCTTTTAGAAAGATGAGTCAGTGAAGCGCTTAGAAATGACCAGGTAGAGGCGGAAGAGGCTGGGAGAGCGCCGCTCGGGGCTCACGTGGAGCTGGCTCAGAAGCCCACCGACGATGGAGACACAGCCAGGGTGTGCTTTGGTGCCAGCCAGTTTCCAGTGCCTTCCAGAAGCGCACCAGCTCCAGCCTCTGCCCTCCAGATGCCTGCAGCCACCCTTTGCTGGCCAGCCTGGGTGCCAGCGCCTCCTCCATGGCTCAGCACACTTGCATATGGGGCATGAATATTTAAAGGCCTCTGCCTAGCCCAGCCACAAACAAGAGAGTGTTGTATTTTTTTTTGTTTCCACCCCCCACGAGCTATTTCCTATGGGAAACTGGGGAATCACTTACAATATATTCAGATTTTATTTTATTTTTATTTTTATTTTGCTGAGCTCCAGTTCAAATAATTAAAGTTGCCACCGGGGAGGGGAGTCTTGAGGTAGCCTTTCATGTGTTCACTTGCCGTCAGATTGGCTGGTGGCTGCCCTGGCTGGGAGGCACGCTAGAATGTGTCTAGCACTGCAGCTGCTGGTAATAAAGAGGATGAGAGAGTGACGGGCCGTCTCCACCCCTCCCCCTGCCTTTCACACATCGCAGAAGCCTGAACGTCTCAACAAGCCCCGTGTGGTTTGAAATTCTATTCATTTGAATAGCCTGCCTGTGACTAGAATACTTTAAACCATGTTTTCAGGACAGAACAAGGCCTGGGGGAAAAAAGTGGGCTTCCCTCATTTCTTTCCCACTCCAAAACATAGAAGCAGTTTTCTTTCTATGGGCTTCAGGGATGAAAAGCACCCAGGAAGGGGGATGTGCCCCATATGATGGGTGTTGACACCCTATGGCAGGTCCAGTTCCTAGCTGCTGGTTTTCTGACCTTGCACAGATCCAACCACATCTACAGACACACAGACACACACTGGGAATCTGGGATACACCTGGGGCCTTTCTACCCCTGGCATCAGCCCTGCCATGATAAAAGGGTCTGCTTTGATTTGCTGCTGGGGGCTGCTGAGGTAAGAGCAGGAGGTGAGCAGCAAGGCTCTTCCATGTCAGCACGGGCTAGCTGGCCTGCAGGGAAGGAGACCTCCCCTCGGTGTGTCATGAAGCCAGCAAATATGGCCCAGAAGGCCGTGGGGGAGAGCCTGGCATCTGAGCTTGACTTCTGCCATGTGTTGAGAAGAATGGCAGGCAGAGCCTGCTCCCCTGAGAAGGAGCCCCCTATGGCAGGCAGACCCCAAAGGCTGAAGGTCAGGAATTTCTCAGGAAATAACTCTCTGGCTGATTTTGTAAGACTTTTCAGGGTGCTGGTAATCATTCCTGGACACAGGGCCCAACCTTTCCTGGGGATTTGGCCCCAGGGGATTTGCCAGCATTTTAGTATAACTCAGAAGCAAAACAAGGTGAGTCATGGCTGTGTTGATGAGGCTTATTCAAGCTGGTCCCTTGGGCAGCCAAATAGGACTTCCAGATAGCAAAAAGTGGAACTTTTCTGATTGCTGTGCTTTAAAAATTTGTTAAACTCAACGGCAAAATCCACAGGATGGCTGGAGCTGGAGGTGAAACAAAAGCTCTTCCTTTAGCAGCTCCTAAACCCTCAACAAGAGACATTCAACTCGGTTCACTTTAAGGAACAGATCCTACAAACTTCCCCGCCCACCATCTGGGTTGGGGTGCCCAGGGGGTGGAAGCAACCCATCTCAGCAGGACAGGAAATAAATATACAGGTACACCTTGTTTTATTGCGCTTCACCGATGATGCTTCACAGATACTGCATTTTTTACAAATTGAAGGTTTGTGACAGCCCTGTGTCAAACAAGTCTGTCTGCACCATTTTTTTCAACAATTGTTCATTTCATGTCACATTTTGGTAACTTTCACAATATTTCAAACTTTTTCATTACTATTATATTATGGTGATCTGTGATCAGTGTTTACAACTCACCAAAATTTCAGATGGTGCTTAGCATTTTTTAGCAATGAAATATATTTTAATTATGGTATGTCCTTTGTTTTTTAAGACATAATGCTATTGCACACTTAGTAGACTCTTGTATAGTGTAAACATAACATACATGCACC